ACCACGCGAAGAGGCCAACCCACGCGTGAAGAAGCAGCACCCATTTCATTTTTATATTTCGAGCAAGACTCGTTGGCAAGCACATGGACGAACTGGTTGAAGGTAAATGTGAAAAATCCTTTTTCATTTTTGAACTTCAGATATATGGTGCTGTGGGTTGTATGATTTTTTGTTTTTTTAAGCTCAATGATTTGTAATCCTTAATTAATTTTGCATTGGAGAATTCAGTTGCATACCTGTTCCTTTGGTGAAATCTTGTTTCTCTGGCTTAGTGTTTACATTTTCTGAAATTGATCGGATATTAAATGTGATGATTTCAATGTAATCTAGTTTTGAACAGTTGACATAGCATGTTTCTTAGTCAGTTATCACTATCTATGACTAACTTAAATTATCACTCCATTTGCACACAACGTAACACAGAGGTGGATGAACGAGTAAGTAAATGTCAATTTCAATTATTTATACTTCTAGATATTGGTTAGATTATATTGACTAAAAAATGTTGTTTTATTTTGAACTTTATATTTGATTGTAGAGGACCTGTGCAATATGTTTCACTTTAGTTGCTCGATCAGGTACATCTTTCTAATAAGTACACGAATTTGTTTTGCTGTTAGCTAAATAATTAGTGATAATCACACAAGTTGAAATTTTCGAATTCAGTGAATTCTGGGTTCATTTTAATAGCTTTGTTTCCATTTCTCTTTCCTTTTTAAAAGATGGAAAAATTCCGTTCACTTTTTGCAAGAACATAGGAAATTCCATAGAGAACCTTCAGCGAAGCCACTAATATTTATCTAAATCTCGTTGTCAACACACCTCTTACGGACTGTTTTCAGTTTTTCTCAATCAAGTGTCTGATATGTGCAAAATTTATATAGAAAGGTGACTGTGAAACTTGAATATAGATTTTTTGCGTGGTTATAATACCTGGTTCTGGTTGTAATACCATGTTAATCATCGCTTATGATGTATCTGAATCTTATCTTTGACAATTTCGAAGTCATCCACTATATAACAATGCCATGTTAATCATCGCTTATGATGTATCTGAATCTTGTCTCCATTTTTGTAGCTTCTTTGCATTGTCTCTCACATCCTCATGCTAAACTAATAAGGGTAGCTGCTCTATCCTGCCAGTATTATACTTCACTTATTCACTATAACCATGTACCTTTCATGGCAAATAACCCCACAATAACAAAGAAACTCACATAATTTCCATGCAGCTTATCTATGGCTTCTCTGTCCATAAGCCAGTGCTCGGAATGCTTATATCCATTGTAACATTACAACAGCGTATTTTTAGAATTTAAGATCCTACTGAATGACTCATTTCCAAGATGATTATCTCCTTTATGATTACTTAATCAACGGTAGCTTATTTATTAATTGAGATACAAATTGGATGTGACTCAACTATTCTTTTCCTTATCTTTTTTGCTAATGGATTTTCTGCATTTTCTAGGTGGCTCTTGCTACAGTTATACCGGATGGAAAAGTGAAGACAAAATAATGGAAGATAGTAGGAGAACTAGAAGGAGACATTTAGAGAGTAGTTAGGGTAGTTCATATTTTAGGTAGTTTGTGACTAGTAACTTTTGTTTGGAGAGAGATGTAGACTTGGAGATGGATTCCTCTAATTTTATTTCATTTTGAAGCTCATTTTTATGTAGGTGATGTTGTATCACATTCTAATGTTCAAGCGTATGGATTCAAAAATTTGTATGAAATTATCAATTTTTATGCAATTTCAAAATTTATTCATAAGGAGTCATTTTTAATTTTGTTAATCTATTTGCATAAATTGCTGTTATTAAAAGAAAAAAGCACATAAGGTCTTTGACAACGTTTTTTGAACGTTGCTGTATGCTATTTTTATTGAAGTGGATGGACAAGTGAAAATTTGTAACTAGTTAATTGGGACATTGTGGCCAACTAATTGTAATTTGTAATCGATTAATAAGTTTTGATCAATTAGTTTGTTAATTTGTGACCAAGAAAGAAGTTGTGATCAATTAATTTGATAATTGTGTGACCATTGTGTGACCAATAAATAAGTTATAATCAATTGATTTGATAATTTGTGACTGAAAAATAATACGTGACTTATTAATTTGATAATTTATTATTGATAAATAAAAATAATACGTGATCTATTAATTTGATTGTTTATGATCGATAAATAAATTGTAATTTATAAAATTTGTGATTTGTGATCTAGAAATAATGCTTGGCCTATTAATTCGATAATTTATAACCAATAAATAAATTGTGAGCTATAAAAATTTTGTGATTGATAAATAAATTGTGACTTATAAAGTTTGTGATTTTTTATTGTGAATTTTTTTATGGTGACTAGTAAGTAATTGTGACCATAAAGTGTATAAATATTGTGATCTTAATATATTGAATTAATAAAATATTTTTTATAATATATTTTATTAATAAAAATTAATTATGACCTTATTTTTGAAATTTTAAAACATGTTTTTTAATTTTGAAATTGTATCTTTTAACCAACTTATATGTGTATTGTTCCTTTCATAAAATACTATGCATTAATTTATATTTTATAACTAATGGACAGCACAAAAAAGAAACTAAAAAATACTTGCTTTGATTTTTCTGTAATTGCACTATGAATAATCAAAACTCATAAAATTAAGCAAAATTAATGGCATCTGACATTTATTCAATCTTAATTGAAACCAAATAATATTTAATAAATTATAATCAAATTGACTATTTCTTTTTAAAAAATTTAAACAATTTAATTTAAACTCTGAAAATTCAAAAACCTATTTAATTCAAAACAATTTTAGCCGAGAAACATGGAACATGTTATGAAAAGATAGGAAAAAAAAAGAAAAGAATAAAAGTCAATAGACTTATGCATTTTATTGAGAACCAAAATCTCATATTTATAGGGAAAGATTATGGATACAATGGTAATAATTTCAAGGGTTGAAGAGATACAATTGTCATTCACTAATATACTTACTAATTACAACGCTCCCCTTTGATTGACACATTACAAAATATCCCCTCATTAAAACCTTGTTTAATAAAAATCTAATGAGATAAAAATATCAAACGAAAGAAAAAAAAAGTACTGTTATTTTTTAGTATTAAAATAAATATTGTCCATTGAAACCAAAATAAATATTGTCCATTGAAACCTTGCTAGGAATATCCAGTGGGATAAAACCTAAGTGAAGAAAAAATCGTACAACTACTCCCCCTGATATTGATCACTGAAAATCTTTGAATTTACGGATTCCAATCTCGTGAACTAATTTCTTGAATGTAGATGTCGATAGTGCTTCTGCGAATAAATCAACCACATTATTACTTGAACTAATTTGTTGAGCATATGTGTCGCCATATTTCTGAAGCTCATGTGATTGAAATTTTTTTGGAAAAATATGATTTGTCATATCATATTTGATATAACCTCATTTAAGTTGTGTAATAAAAGCTGCATTATCTTCATACAAAATTGTTGAAATTAATCCGCATGATGCTTGAATATGATGGATCATGTTTCATAACCATACACACATTCTCTGTCTGCTTTATGGATTACAGATAATTTCAAAATAATTTGAAGATGTTGCGTCAAGGTCTGTTTTACATATCTCATTGATATAACCATTCTTTTACGTGTAAACACATACTTTATTTGTGATTTAGTTTCATGTGGATTAGGGAGATAACATGTATCTACATATCCTATTAAAACAGATACCGACTTTTGAGAATAAAATATTCTCAAATAAATAGTACCTTGCAGGTAATAAAAAAAGTGTTTAACACCATTCCAATATCTTTGAGTTGGTGTAAAACGATTACATTGCAAGGAGATTTACAGAAAATATTATGTCGGGGTTGAGTGCTGTTTTCAAAATAGGTTAATGTTCTAATTGCACTAAGATATAGTACTTCAAGATCAGGAACCTTATCTTTGTCTTCAAGTCAACGAAATAGATATTTTTTCACATCAAGTGATCTAACAACCAGAGGTAATGCTAATGGATGTGCATTATCCATATAAAAACATCTTAGGACTTTTTCTTTATATATAGATTGATGAAAAAATAATCATTCTAGGAAGTGTTCAATCTACAACTCGAGAAAAAAATTTGTTTTCTCAAATTCATTTTTCAAATAATATGCAGTTTTGTTGAACTCTTTAGGTGTTCTAATTAAATTTAAATCATCAGCATAAACTTCCACAATTGCAAATCTAATATATGTTTTCTTTATGAAAGCACATGAACAGACATCATCATTTTTATAACCTTCATTCAAAAAATATTTGCTAAGGCGATTGTACTACATGTGTTCGAATTGTTTCAATCCTTATAATGATCCTTGCAATTTAATTAAGAACATAGTTCTCGGACATGTATTAGTTATTCTTGGAACATTAAGTCCTTCGGGGACTTTCATATATATGTCACTATCAAGTGGACCATACAAATAGACAGTCACTACATCCATAAGGCGTATATCGAGCTTTTGTGACACAACCAAACTAATTAAGAATCTAAAAGTAATG